TGTTCCGGTACGTGGGGGAGCCGCTAACGCAGGTGGCCGCATCCTGAGCACAGGAGTGGAGGGGCTCGGAGATGCCGCTGTGCAAAGGCCATTTGCTTCAATGCCGTCACTGGCACAGGTGTGGGGTGAGCGGCCCCACGGGCAGAGGGGGGGGGGGGGGGGAGAAAAAAAGCAGGGGGGGGAATAAAAGTGTGTCTGATGCTTGCGTCCTTTTGTGTCTCTTGCGAATAAAAAGAGGAGCTGGGGGGGTAATGCATGCCCGGCCGGGCTGGAGGTGCTCCGGGCCGTGCCTTGGGGCTGCCCATAGCTCCGCGATGGGCCATTGCCCTGGGGAAAAACAGGGCAGGGGCTTCGAGGGGCTCGTGTCAAGGGGGAGTGGGTACAACAGAGCCGAGCCCCCCTGCAGCCCTGCCCGGCTGCATTGGGGTAGCAGGGGGCGGCAGGGGCTCCTTCCCTTCCCCAGTTTCCCCGGCTTTCACATGATGGCAGCAGAGGAGAAGAAACGCGTTCACACCCGGTTGGAGCCGGGCTGAGCTGGGGGCTCTGCTTCTGGCCCTGCTGCCCGCGCTGCCCCTGCCTGCTGCCCCAGCCTGCCCCGCACTGCAGCCTGCCCCAGCCTCAGCAGCCAGGATCAGGCCCCGGCTCCTCCTCCGGCTGCCCCGTGACGGTCCCAGGGGTGACACTACCTGCCCAACCTGTGCTGCGACACCCAGTCCCACCCCTTGAGTCAACCAGCCGCGCTGCACCGCCAACCCAGCCGGCCTTGCCGTCAGTCGCCTGGACCCTACTCGCTCCCCTGGAACTACCTGCCCAACCTGTGCTGCGACACCCAGTCCCACCCCTTGAGTCAACCAGCCGCGCTGCACCGCCAACCCAGCCGGCCTTGCCGTCAGTCGCCTGGACCCTACTCGCTCCCCTGGACCCTGCTCGCTCCCTGCTCGCTCCCTGCTCGCTCCCCTAACAGAAAGGAAACTTTGCCCCCTCCATCTCCTCCTTCAGCGCCTCTTGGAGCCCAGCCCACCCTGCACCGTCTGCTCGAGGCTTTGCAGCGGGAAGGAGGAAACCAAGCAGCAGCGGCGGCTTGGGGCGGGTGGCAGCTGGGGCGACATGGGCAGCGCCGAGGAGGATTATAACTTTGTCTTCAAGGGTGAGTCCTGGGCTTGATGCAAATGCCCGTCCCCAAAAGGGATGGAGCGGGAGGCCAGGGGCTGCGGGGAGGAAGTTGAGGTGCCTTCCACCCCCAGGGCTGCCGTGTCCCGAACTGGGATGTTGTTGACTATCCCCACAGCTCTGATGTGTGCCAGGAGCTGTGAAGGGTCAGGGGATCGGGGGGCAGGCACT